CAGAATAGTCACAATTATTTTATATTTTGACCTAATTATTTTTTTCAACAAAAAATGACATATTATCATATAAAATTAGATAAACTTAACTTTCCTGTTAAAAAAAATAAATATTGGGATTAAACCGTCAAGTAATCCAAAATATTGAGATTTTTTCGAAGATTTCTCATATATATATATATATATATATATATATATATATATATATATGTTTAGGTTCTATGGAAAACAAAAAACCCTAAAAATCAAAAAAATGCCTAAAAAAAATACTTAGAGATCACAAAACTTTTTTTTTGAATTTTTTTTTATGAAAAAATCGCAGCTTTTATTTTGAATTAATTTCTTTTCCACATGTCATTTTATGGGGTTTTCTATTTTAATAAATTCCACATAATATTTTAATGTAATAATTACAATAAATATAGTAATAAATGAATATCAATTTCATTAATAGACTTACATTTTTATTTCAAAATTCATAAATTAAAGCTCATTAGTTTATTTTGTTTATTTATTTAAATTTAAAAGAAAAATCAATTTTAATAATTCATTATTTTTCTTATAAATCCAAAGTTTTAATATATTTAGACTTTTATATTTAATTTTTTTAATTAACTCATGTAATACATGAGTCTTACACCTAGTATTCTAATAAAAGAATATGTTTAATCTCATATTGGCAAGTGGCGTACAATTAGAACTTCTCATTAATGTTATATATCACATATCATGCCACTTGTCAACCTATTAATTACCCATTTCAAATTTCAAATTTTAAATATCCACTTTAATTACATTAAATTAATAATTGATTATCCATTTCAAATTTTAATTTTTAAATATCTCATTCTAATTACATTAAATAAATAATTGATCTTCATTTTAAATTTTCTCACTGTAGTTATATTAGATTAATAACATTAGATTGAAAATTAAAATTAATACATATTATAAGATGATATAGCTTTATGTATTTATTTAAATCAACGATTATAATTTTATATAATTAAAAAAATATCTATTAAGTAATAACTTATTTCAAATAATTGACTAATAATTTTGATTTTTTAATATGAAAGTTTAATTAATTTTATAACCGTGGTTTTTACAGGTTATAAACCAGTTAGAATGAATGAATAAATAAAAATCATATTGCAAATGTCATAATGCATGTAAATAACTATATATAATTATATATGCTCATAATTTACCCGGCAATGGTTAAACTGTGACTCGCGCTATAGGTGTATGTATAGTGTAGACAGTACACCTTCAAATTATTTTATTCATTTCATCTCTCTCTCTCTCTCGATTGGTAGAAAGCAAAGACTGCTGCAGCACCTCCGCCGCATCATCGTCACCGGCCAGATCGATTGTTACACTAGCTACAGTATACGGTGTAGTCTTCTAATGGCATATCATCCTAACCATATCTCGCAAGATATGGCCCTACAACAACATTTCTCCGACACCGACAACAATTCCGTCCTCCGAACGATTCTTCCAGAACATCACCACCTCACATCCGCCGCACAATCTTCCTCTTCTTCCCGTTCCGCCGGAAAAGACCACTGGCTCAATAACGCAATTCTCCGGCAACAAGGCAGATTCGGTGGCGGAACCGGCGACGGTAACAATAATATCTTCCTCAACCTGCAAACGAACCACAATAATTCAGATTCTGCAGCTACGACGTCATCTCAGCATCACCACCATCAACAGGCTGCTAACAATAACAACAATCAGTGGCTATCGAGATCGATATTGCAGAGGAACGTTAGTGATGTTAGAGGAGACGACGGAGTTGCGGAAGTTTCTACTGACTCAATTATCGCCGCCGCCGCCGTGATGTCTTCTCACAGTTCACCTGATCTGAACAATCATTCTAGAAACATCGCTGTAAGTCAGGTTTGAACGTTTCCACTATGAATTTCAGATTTACACAAGTTTTCGTATATCCTTCATTTTCAACTACTTCCGTATCATTCAAAAATGAAGTATAGATTTAACTTTTAAGTTCATGTAGGTTTATTAATTCATAAATTATTAATTAAGTCTCTCGTTTTTCCCCATATTTCATCTAAAAAATCATTTCCCCTAATAACAACCATTCATATAATATTATGATTCTGATTGAAAGATACGATCGAAATATTAGGTTTTCCCCTTATCAACCTCATTGTTTCACGTCATTAACTTGAATAGTAGTATTTGATTTGAAACAAATTTCTGACTTCCAAAATTATGCATATATAATAAGTTTGAAGTAATATTCTATAGGACTGTTTTGATAAAAGAAAAAAAATCATATACATTTACAAAATTAAACGTACAAAAACAGGTGTTGGCATTTCAATTCATTATGATTTGTTTTTAAGTAATTAACCAAACTATTTTGTAGAATGAAAAGGAAAAGATTTCATTTAACAAAAAAAATATATGATGCCAATCATTAATTCATAGTCCTGATAATCGTATACCAGTATACCACAGTTATTATCTCGATATTCTTTCACTGAAAACCGATAACACAAGATTCATAAAGCAAAAGTTAAAAAAGACATTATTCGTAAAAAAATAACAGTAAAAAATATATATTAATGTTTTCTTTCTTCAACTTTCCCTGAGATAATGCCTTGATTTTTCTGATAAGACGATCTAAATTTATTTACTTGGTCATTTTAAGTCATTAAAGGCTGTTGGTGACATCGATTTTAATGCATGGAGTTTTCTTCGTTTTCTAATGCTGAAAGTAACAATAAATATTAAATAATTAATGATGAATCTTACTATTTTTTATTGATGAAATCATTTTAAACACAAATTCGATGACAGCCATCAAAATGATAGTGAACCTAAATATATAATGTTTATTTTTTATAAAAATAAAAATAAAAAAATTATAAGAATCTAAACAAAGAGAAAATATAAAAAAATTTATGAACCACGATAAGCACCTTCAGTTTATTTGTCTATTGATAATTGATAAAGAAATTTTTTATTAGTTTTCAAAAAAAAAAAATGCTACCTCTGTTCTCATTCTTATACGAGAGTCACATAATTAATGTCTATTTGCATTTTAAAAGAGAAAATAGACAATTCTAGTCACAAAACTTTTCAGTAAAAGTAATAAGCAAATAAATTCTTATTTTGATTCTTTAAGCCTAAAATATAAACAATAATTTTTCTTATTATATTTTTAGCATTGGTGTGTAAAACACTATTCTTTTTTTTTTCGAAAGTTAACTGAATTTCTATCTTGATAATTTATACGTACTAAATTATTTGATTTGGTTAACTTTGAATTCTATATTATCTTTCTTGCAACTTTAGCATGTATGAGTTTGGTTTTTGGCTATGAATATATAATTTTTATAGTATATATCTTGATAGTATAGCTATTATTAATCAACATAACAATAAAATACTACATTGAACTTCATCAAAAGATTTTAATAACCACATGTATATCTAAATTATTGATAGACATATTTCATAAGGAAAGTATATTGAGACAACAGTTCAATATATAGCATCTGGTGTGTAAAAAGCAGAATATTTTCATATCTTCTACAAAATAAATTAAACATATTCATCAAAACTAAATGTGAAGTAAAGAAATATAAAAGGCATTACTTGAATTTGTTATAGAGAAAAAAAATTAAATGTGGTATCCAAGTAGTAGTCTTTGTAAGAATTTGTTAGTATCACATATTCGTGTTGAGTTGTATTAAAAAATATTAAATAAAATAGACTCAGCATGTCGAAAATACTCTGAAAAAAGATTAAATTAATTCCTCATTATTTTAACAAGGGTAATAAGAATTTAGTTATATATACGTGTAATGAGTACATAACAATTAATACAAATTAATCTAAACTTAATTGTACTATGATGTAATTGATTAGCTTGTATAAAAGATAAATTGAAAAAAAAAATACCTTAATATTTGTCGATAAAAGTAATCACATTTAGATTCATTATTAGTAGTAATAGTCTTATTTAAACTAAATTTGTAGTTAAATAATTAAACAATCATGTTTTAACAAGTACGTATATATATATATATATATATATATATATATATATATATATATAATTGCACATACATGTGAAACATTAATGATTTCTTTTATAAAGCTATCTAAAATGTGAGTTTTTACAACAAATCTTAAAACATAATATATTAGTTGTTTCTATGATTACAAATGTGTTTTGTTTTATAATCTACTTCATAAAACCAATCATTGCTTCAAAATTGCAATTGTTAAATCATTTAAATATTAACTTTGTCCTTGGCTAAAAATAGTCACGCTTGCGAAAAAAAATTCATATGAAGTAATCATGTTCTAAGATGCTTATATTCTCATAACTATCAATAGTGTTTTAGAACTATATATGTTATCATATAAGTAGTTATATCAAAAATTACATGATAAAAATAACTTATATTTTAAATTTTTATATTATTATATTATTATTTTTTAGATTACGTAGTAGTGGAAAATAATCCTATTTATTATTGTGTGCTGTTAAAAAAATATCACCATTTTTTATCTGATGAAGTTCATTTAAAGTTTCCATATCAGAACTAATTTATCTAGTTGGATATAAATAAATCATAAAGTATATAGTAATTATGTATAATGTATTACCTATGAGTTAAACATAATGTAAAAACTCTCTCCGAAAAATAAATAAATGCAGATATAAAATTTGTTTGTTGTTGTACTTAGTGCAATTATATAAGTCAAGGGCACTATCAAGACTTAACCCTACAATAAAACAAATTTTCAAATGTAAACAAATCAACATCCTTTAATTAAACCAAACTACATAACTATTGACTAAATGTGAGAAAATGTAGAAAAAAAAATAAATGGAAAAGATATTCTTACATAGATCAAACTAAATGAGGAGCATGAAAATAATAATAAAAAAATGTTCTTGTTTAGCATTTATTGGTTTCACGTCTTTATGCGAAGAATCAATATGAGTAGAATTAATACATTATGTTGTTGCTTAACTTTTTTAAGTGAATGATGCCATAACACTTATCGTCCTTTATGACTTGTTAGTATCAACCCTAAGAAAGAAAAACATGTCACATGGAGTATGAAAGAAGAATGTAGGAGGATATGTCCAAAAACTACTTTGATTACCTTCATTTGGATATGTGGTTGTTATAAACGAGGGGATGTCTTCTATTTATGGTGTGATACCATCTCTTGGAAGAATCTAGGATTCTACTTTTGTCCTCATTCTACAAAGTTCTTACATAGAGCATTACATTATGGATTAACTATATTACAAATTTTAGAATTCTACATTCCATGATAATCGACTGCTAACCATCATCTGAGTTGCCTAGAGTAGAGGAGTTTAAGAATAAACCCTTCATAAAAGAAGATTTGGGTTCAAATCTCATCCCAAAAACCTCAAAACCTAGGGACCTCGTAGTGGATGGTATGGGAAACCCATGATATCTATCGTTCTTCCGTCCTAAGTTTTCAATGTAGAAATCCATGGCACCAATATTATATTATAACAATGAATTATCTTCGTCGTTAAATCGATCAATATTGTTTTCTTAGTTTTCTAGTGTTGGTAAAAGACTCGTTCTCTACAACTTCTTAGGTCATTGTAGAATATTTTGTCTACTCAAAATGCAATATTTTGTATGGTAAGTGACACTCTTCCCACTTATTCTTGTGATGCCTTTGTGAACATCTTGCAGCGTTGAATTGCGTTAAGGAAATTCCCAATTTGGATCTTATTCAATCTTCCAAATTGATTCACTTAGTAGTAATCCTTCCATTTGATCAAGCATGGAGTACTTGGCGGCTTACATATTTGTCGTGTGACTTTACTCGACATCACTTCTTCAACTTCATTATTGAACGACTTGATTATACTTGGGAATGCTTATATCGTGTCTTCATCGCATCCGGTTAAAGTTTTCTCTTAAAGTGTCTTAAGTAACATCCGGCTATGCAATATATATTATTCTGATCATCCATTTATGGTGAAGACTTATAATATAATATATTTATATGGTTATTGTTAGTGATTAGGATTTAGGCCTAAAACTTTTAGGGTTTATATGAAGTTTAACCTCACTATTTATCAATAAAAACAATCTACTATCTTACATGGTATCAGAGTTCTAGGTTAAAAACCCTAATGCTGACAATAACTTGCAGTCGCCGCCCTCCACCTCCGGCGACCTTTTTTAATAGTCGTAAGAGGTGTCTTCATTATGTTCCTTATTTTTCTGTTTCTTCTCTTCTCCGCCTAAATAATAAAACAGTCGGCTGACACCAAATCAGAGCCCTTTCATCAGCTTTTCTACTACCTCATCTACTTCTGCCTCCTTACCTCCCGCCTCCTCCTCGGTTGGCCACTTCTACAGATCTCTTTTCCGATTCATCCCTTTCTGATGGTGCGGCTGTCTCTCTCCGATGGCACCTTCTCCACTGAGTAGTCTTTGATCTACAGTCGTCTCTTTCTCTATCCACATTGCAGTCGCCGATCTCGCCGGAATTGGCTCCGTCCGCCACAGCTCGAGCCCTCTTTCTTTCTCGTTGCCTTTCTTCGGACTCCTCTGTTGTTGGTCTCATGATCATCATCATCGTCGTCACTCCTCTCTTCTTATATAAAGGAACCGTTGCTTCTTCTCTATCCTTTTCCGACGAGCAGTTGTTGTTAGTCGTCATCGTTAGAGCTTTGTCACCGCCACTGCTACTGTCTTCATTTATGTTATGTTATGTTTTTGTTTTTTCAGTTTAATCGTCCCTTCCCGATCAAACTGCAGGGGAATGTTAGTGATTAGGGTTTAGGCCCAAACCCTTTACGGTTTAGATTAGGTTTCTTATGTATCTCTATTTATATTAAGTTTAACTTCACT